CCACAATTTTTGAACATTCTACTGACCCCATTTCTAAAATTCGTTCCTTTAATGCGAAAACGGCTGCAGGCTTGATGTTTTGAGGGTCCATCGAACGTCTCAAAGACACAATTTTCAGAACTTTTCAATCTAAACCAACGATCCCTTCATTTTTTAAACAATATTAAAATTTGCCGCGGAAGCGCAATTATTTAACTTGCAACAGATCGCGCTTTTAAAACGCGCCCCTGTACTATTTCGAAAGCTGATGCTCTGAAAATTTGAGCCTCTATAGGAAACATTTCAGGCAAATACTCGAGAAACTTTCAATCCAATCTAGCGGCTCCTTGAATTTTTAAATGTTTTTCAGTTTTGCCGCAAAGGCTCAAATATTAGGCATTCTGCAGACCGCGCTTCTCTAACAGAGCGTGAAACTCTAACATTTGAGCCTTGAAAATTTTACACTCCCTAGAAGATATTTAAGGCACTCGGGAACTTTTCCGTTCAATCCAATCTCAGGACTTTTTTGAAGTTTCTTCAAAATTATTAAATTCAATCATACAGAAAAACCTGGTAATATGAAAAAAATTGTATTCAATTCAGTAAGTGAGGCAGCAAATTGAGATTCATTGAGTATATGGGGGACACTTTTCTCTACCAGATGGTGTTCATTACTGGCTTCAAGCTTCTCCAGTTTTCGAGATATGAATTTTTAATAACTGACTTGCAGAATTTCACCCTTTAAGACACTTGAAATTAGAAATGTTGCTTATTTTCTTAAACCAAAAGTGTTCTCTCGGTTTTTGCACAGTTTCTCAATTGGAAACTAGACTTTGCTCTATTAGAAACTCTTAGTTTCATTGCATCAAACATTTACACTATTTCCTAGTCGTTCTATCGAACAAAACACATTCAACTCACGCAGCGCTTCCTTCCAGGACGAAAACTGAACCCGACAAGAACTTAAAACACCCTGTATATATACAGGGTGTTTTATTTAAAAAAAAAATCGACTAGTTTGAGAATCCTATCGGAAAAGCACCAGTGATATTTCATAGCTTTGCAACAACCTCCAGGATGTTCCATAGAAAATGCTCAATTTCGTCCTTCTTCAAGAGCTTTTAATGAATATTCCAGTCCTCGATAGTCAACCATCACTAGCTTTTTTTGCATCATGTGAATGGTGTTGAACCCGATTAGGAACAATCGAGCAAAGCATTAACGTGCATGCTTGTTAGTGCTGAAAGCGAATATTTGCCTAAGTTCAAGACTCACTGGCCGAATAGGTTTCTTACATTTTATCCCTTCAGTGAGTGATTTTGTGGCCAAAAGCCCCCAATCAATCAAGGTATGTATAAAATCAATCCAAAATTAAACGTCCATAACTGGCTGTTTTCACCCTCACCCCCCTGTTGCCTACTATTGACCAATCAAATTGACTTTGCTTCCATCATCATTAACGTTTGCATTAATAAATAGCACATTCACTGTTTGCCCGGGTTCTTCATTATATTTCGGTTTAAAACCCCCGGCGCTTATTCGGTATCCAGGGTGGAATTTTACTTTACTTTAATACGACCGGACTGGCGCCTGGGGCTGGTTGGGGCCCCCGGGGGCTTCTCCGGTTGGCCTCGCTTCTCTACATAATTTTAAAGGACCTTCGGGCTAATCCCCGAACTCAGCGGCGTCTCGTTCTATCGATCATTTCGAGTTGAAATTTCATAAAAGTGGAAGTTGCAGAAAATGAATTAATGCCGGAGTTTTTCAATCAGACACCCCCTGTATATTGGGGTGTCAAAAGGAAAGACTCAGCTTGTCCGGTATTGAAGTTACGAATTTTAGAAGAAGCCGTTGCGGTAATTTTTTTAAATGTTTTAAAAATCAAGGAGGCGTTGGTTGAGGCAGGAAATTTCTAGAATGTCTGTTTCAAATGTTTTCTATG